GTTTGATCCCAATGCCACCAAACAAAAACAAACCATAAAGCAGTCAAAATGTGAAACACACACACATACACACACACACCCCTGAATTTGATAACACATTCCCACCAGCTTCAACTATTGGTGGTATATGTGTGACTGCCCCATATCACCCAACAGAACAGTCATGCACGTACCACCATGGTTCAGAGCTGCCTGGCAGCAAGGTATATGAATTACAGCCCTGTCATGAACATGTTAAACAAATGGATCCCAATATCAGTTTGCTAGAAATACAAAGAACAGAGATTTATTCAACTATCCCACAAGAGTGAAGGCAATAGAATTACACTGTGGAATGCTACTGAACAAATGGTTCAACTTTTTCAGATAAATTGCAAGAAGGATAAAATGAGATAGGAGGGACATTTTTTTTAAAGGCAAGACAGGAAGGACATTTTTTTTTAAAGCTGTATTGTGTATTCCTTTGTGGGTGAAAAAATATAGATGTGATTACTATAAAAATCAAGATAGTGGCTACTCAGGAAGAAGATGGATGATATTAGGAACACATAAAGAACTGGGCTGGTTGGCAAGATTCCATGCCTTTACTGGTAGTTAGGAGGTATTTTATAATTCATTAAGGTGTACCTTTGTTCCTAGAAGTCCAGTGCTCTATCCATTGTGCCACAGAGCCACCTAAGGTATACATTTGTTTCATGCTTTTTTTTTTTTTTTTTTTCTGTATTTGTGTTATTTTTGAGCAAACTAAAGACAGAATTTTATCCGGCCACTAGGCCTAACAGGATTTACCAAGCCCAAGTTGGATGTATTTCTAGGGTCTAGCAGTACCTGACCAAAATATGCATTCAATAAATGCTTTGGTTTTTTGTGGGGTTTTTTTGGAGTTTGTTTTCTGAAGTTTTTAAAAAATTTAATTAGGTTGTTTGTTCATTTGCAGCACTGGGACTTGAACCCACAGTGGTCACACTAATTAAGCACTCTACCCTGATCTAACAATGAGCTATGTATATGTAAATTTTAGGACAGATTCTTCCTAAGTTGCTCAGGCCAGCCTTGAACTTGTAACCTTTCTGTTCCAGCCTCCCAGATAGCTAGGACTGCAGGCGTGTGCCACTAGGCCTGGCCAGTAAATGCTTTGTTGAGTATATGACTCTGAAGAAGCTTCCAGCCCACTCAGGTTGGACTCTTGCAGCCATCTCAGTGAGTTTACCATCACCTTCAAGTGCATCTGCTCAGGCACCATGGCTAGCATTGTCCCCAGCCCACTGCTCCGCCTACGTGGACTGGCCACGGCCATGGGCCCAGACTAAACTTTTGGGTGTAGTGAATTCTACCAACTTCGTGCTTCTGAGCCCTGACCTGTCTTCCAGTGGGAGTACCCTATGTCATCGGGCCTCCCCAGTGCTTTCTGCTCTTAGCACATAGTCCTCTCCTGGTCCTTCTCTTGTAACTGTTCTGTTGTTCTCTGAACACACCTCTTTTCCTCCACAAAGCCTATCTCTGTCCTACTCTACTGAAATAAAGTTCTCTCCTTGGGACACCATTTCCCTTGCAAACCACAAGTGGCTGCTTACTACCTGACATCCTTCTGCACAGAGCCTTTCTTCGAGTCTCTGAGACAGCTGCCTATAGTGCAGATGAAGATCCCTGCCCCACTGGTGCTCAGTCTCCTCTTAGTGCATCCTATAGACACCTTCCCTTTCACTGCTATTATCTTTTACCTTTCCAACCACTCTGATTTTTGAGCAAGTTTGGCATGTCTCCCCCTCCTCCTCCAGTTCTGCTGTATTCCCCACTCTTTGAATGGAAGCCTAACCAGGGTGCCTGTCAGAGTCTTCTTCCCAAAGTCCTGGGGATACTCAGGCAAACACTCAGCCCTCTACCCACAATCTCCTGTCCTTCCAGTTCCTTGATAAACATCAGTCCCTCAGTCCCTCTCTTGGCCCCACCGAGGCTCTCTTTTTCCGATACCCAGCCTACATCTCAGAGAGGATCTCTGAAACTTTTAAGATCCTTGTCTTCCTTTGCACCTGCTTGTCAATCTGCTCTTCTGTGCCTGTTCTCCTGTCTGTTGCTACCACCACAGATTCATAGTTGGCTCTCAGTTCTTTCATGCATCCTTCACTCTAGCAACTATTCCAACTTCCACCTATTCCATTCTTCTCAAAGCCCCTGGCTCAATAAGAAAATGGAAGAGGGCATCAGAAAAGAGCTCCCTGGCTGGGCATGGTGGCATACACCCGTAATCCCAGCACTTGGGAGGCTGAGGCAAAAGGATCACTGTGAATTCAAGGCCAGCCTGAACTGCCTAGCGAGACCCTGTCTCAAAAAGAAAATAAATAAATAAATAAATAAATAAATAAATAAATAAATAAATAAATAAAAGAGCTCCCTAAACTTTGCACTCCCATCTACCCCAAAGTAACTTAAGTTTTTCTATCTTCACCTTTCTCTGTGTTACAGGGTAGGTCATCTTTTCATTTCCAAGCCCAACCTCTACACCCTGGGTTGGCTGGCTCCGCTGGCTCCCACCTCCCCCAGGACTTGCTCCTGTGGTCACCTCTTCATCCTCTGAGTTGCCATAGCCTGTGAATATCCAAAACACTCCCATATTTAAAGAGATCCAAGCTGCTTATAAGGCATGAGGAAACATACCTGTCATCCCAGCTAGGAGCACAAGTTTCAGCCCATTCTGGGCAACTTAGCAAGAATCCATCTCAAAACAGCAATGTAGGAAAGGCTGAGGGTATAGCTCAGCATTCCCTGGGTTCAGTCTCCAGTACTGCACAAAGAAAGAGTCCACCACCCAGCTAACATGCTGGTCCTTTTCCACTGCTGGTTTACTGTGTGTACTATTTCCTAAGTCAATTCTAGTGGCTCATTTCTTCTCTTTACGTGCACTTCCGTTTTAGTAATCCAGTCACCTCCTGCTGTCTCCCTGAACTTGCGCTTACCAAGTTCAGCAGTGGTTTTGTTCTCAAACTCAGTGGACATGTTTTTCAGCCCCTCAAACTGGACCTCTTCTCCATCTGACCAGGTGACCTTTCCCATGAACTCATAGCACCACAGTTATGGTGCTCCTCATGCCCTCTGATTCCTCTGTCGTCTCCCTCTGAGCCCTGTGTATAGTGTTTGTGGTCCACAGGCTCTGCTTTTCCCACCATACAGTCATCCTGGGCAGGTGTGGCTTTGCTCCTGGTTACAACCATTCCCTGTATGCCAATGTCTCTGACTCAGAGCTTCCTTCATTTTCCCACTCCACTAAGTCAGTTGCACAAAGACAGCCCTACCAGGGTGCCCCACACACATCTGAAAAGCAGCACTTCTTGAACCAAAATGATCATCTTGACAGATAGTCCAATCCCCATGGGAGGGAATGACTCACTGACCTCTCTGACGCCTTTCTATCCATCTCCGCACAGTGCATTACTGAGTGTCACCAATTCTGTTCCTAAATAGAGAACATCCCTTTTCCAAACTCAACTGCTAGGGCCAGGGATCTAGCTCAGTGGCACAAGTGCCTGGCTGGCAAGTGCAAGGTCCTGAGTTTGATGCCCAGTACAAAAAAACAAAAACATGTATATACCACATTCAACTGCCATCACCTAGCTTCAGGTCATGCTTCTGATTCCCCTTTTATTGAAATCACCTCTGATCTGGTTGCCTGACACCACAACCAGCATGATCTTTCTCAAATGTGAACCTTATTGTGCCCCCTTCTCTCTTGCTTAAAATCCTCTGACTTCCTGTTGCTCTTGAGTCTGGATTGCTGTGTGTGGCTTTTGGACCCTTGTCAGTGTCTTCAGGCTCTTCTCTTGCCTCCCATGCCTCCCACTTTACATTCCAGCACTCCTGAATGGATTCTGTTCTCCACATGCTGCAGTGATCCAATGCTTCTGCCTTTTTCCTTGGTGTGTTTGTTCAAGCTCTTTCAGGATGACCTTCATGGTTCTTTCTGCCCAACTTCTGCTCACCCTGCACTAATCTTCCACCAAACAACGTTTACAGTACCCTGCACTTAGCAAACGATTTCGTGTGTGTGTGTGTGTGTGTGTGTGTGTGTGTGTGTGTGTGTGTGTGTG